CACGTTGAAACTGGTGATGAAAGATATTAATGTAACTTGTATTAAGTCACATGGGATACGGAGCTCTATCGCCGCCATTGCGCGTTCTTGGAACGGGCGCGACGGTAACATTGCGGTGTGTGGGCTTTCGGACGAGAAGACTGGGATTACGTTGGATGTAAGTTATTGTTGTCCGGCAAGATTTTGAAAAGTGAGTAGCGAATATTCGAAAGGGATTGATGAACCCTCTTTACCGACAACTGTAGCTAATGGAGGACTGATCTGCCTTAATTGATTAGAGTATTGTGTCCCGATAGGGAAAGTTCTTGAAGTGGCAACAATGTGTTAGCTTTTGAAGGTGATTAAAGATATTGACGTCAGCAATAATATGCAATTGTCGAGGTAGGTTTATCACGCTAGACCAGACGTTTGGAAGTTTTTTCGGAAGTAAGGGCCTATAGTTTTTCTCATGCATTTACAGTGGGTGTTGTGTTACATTTCAAAAATGTTGTCGGTAGGTACTTACGGACATGTTGCCCAGCACTTTAGAACAACACGTTTTTGGAGGCTTTGGGCACCAATTCAGTCTTGAAAGGGAAATACTTCCAAACATAAGGTTTTTCATACATCAGAACCTTAGTGTGTGGTAGATACCAGAGCATAAAAGGGAGTGTTCCGCATTTGTATGAGTTCCAACTGAAATTACCCACCCTGAAGATCATTCAGTATGTTATACAGCCCTGCCATCCTCAAGCACCCTTCTAATTTTCTAAACTTTTCTAGTTTCTGGGCTACACACCTCCAAAGATGCGTATATTATTGCGTGCTGACTATTTCAGGGTCACCCAGGCACCCACGACGCATGACGACTTCAAATCCTGCCATTTCGTTGGCCATGGGGTGATCGAGGCAAATCATGATTTGGCTGTTGAGTCGTTCATATCATGCTTTGCGAATAGATTTTCAGACGTAACGGCCGTCAATTGGCTTACAATCAATGTTGTGCAAGACTGCGTAAGTTATTCAGTGCACTAGCACGGAGCATTTTTCACATAGCTAAGACAATAGTAATAGGCTTATTCGTCGAAGAAAAACCCGGAGAATGAAAGTATGGATGAGTTGATATTTCGGCAACATGCCTTTGTTGAAAAACTAGCAGAAGTGAATTCAAAATTGCCTGCCGATGACACACACATACTTGTGTACCGTGCTTTACGAGACACCTGACTCAACCATCACTACCGAGAACCACTCGAACAAATGGCGGCATCGCCGCCAAATTGGAAGGCCGTTCCGTCATTTGGCCGTTAAAGAACAGGATGGGCTGTTCCGAGGGAGAAAACCGCCGTCTTTAGCTTACACGGGCAATTAAAAATATCGAGGACATAGTTATAACAGAGGACCGTGTGTGACTTTTCTGTCATGTTCAGCTGCGTATTGAGGACCTGTAGTGTACAACTGCGCCTGGAAATTAAGGACAAAGGGACAAAGGCTCTCAGGTCGGGGGTCTAGAGTATCATTCAGAGGGGCTCCTTGGGGGTTGCTGGGAAACTAAGGGCTCCTTTACCGGTGAGAGACGATGTCAGACAGTCTGTTTTTGATATTTGTCGACAAATGTATCGCTTGAAAACAACATGGTAATTTATCACCGAGGCAACGACCATCTCATAAGCCAGGATCGCCGCCACTTTTGAAAGATGCTGGAGACGACGCCGGCGACAAACCAAACACGGTCACATATCAGTATGCTACCTTGTGCACAAGCACGCAGCCCGAGCCTTGGCAATTTGGCAATGGGCCAGGAACGGGCACAAGGTTGATAAACGCCCCCCCCCCCAAAGTGAAAGACCCCGCGCCACGAAAAATCTGACTGGCATTGGAATGCCCCACCGTGCCGGCCGGGGCTCTAAATAGTCTTCCAGCCGACCTTTCTGGCCCTCTGGGCCCTCAGATCGGGCGCATAATCGTAAATCCCGAGGCCCTTCGGGTCCCTTTAAACCTTAGGCAGGGCAAACGTGCCTCCTGTGCCCTTTCCTCTCTGCGTTACTGCTTGCGCGCCAGGCTGTAGGTTTGCGTTCAAATGTAGGCAAGTAACGGCGGATCGTAGGCTTCCTGCTGCTTAAATTATTCATCTATAATATAACAATCGTTTTACTTTATTTCATCATGTTGCACTTTCCGGTCGTCACGTTAAAGTCCAAATCAACAAGTCGGATAAATAGTAGCATACGCTATGTTGATACCTGCTGAACGTTCTCCATGATAAATGCCCCCCCCCCCCCCCCCCCCCCCCGAGGCCGGTTGATATCACCAACGGATTTTGGCTCCATCGACTTCCCATACTGTGGCATCGCCCCGGACCGCATGACAAATGACTACAGTCCATTAAACTACCCGATGAGTGTTTGCCCCGACGGCTGGACAACCGGAACACCTATTGTTTTCCGGTCCCAACGGCCCGATTAGAGTAGGAGGAAGGGTTAGGTAGGAGGCCTGTAAGGTTTCCATGACGCTTTTGGAACTAATAGTGCTAACAGTGCTAAAGAATCATCAATGACCCGGTTGGCGGCACACTACTCGACAGCGGTTTTCCCGAAGCTTCTGCTGTTGCAACGGCTGCAGCAGAGGGCAGCAGGGGCTGAGGAGCGGGAAACGGAGGCGACGCTCCAGACAGCGGTGGAAAAAGTGACTCGAGGTGCTGCTGGAACTGTTTATCTGCTGACCGAGCTACTGCAGCTTCAGGTGCTTCGGCGGGCAGCCGCCCTTCATCTCATTCGCAGATGATGTATGATGCATGTATGATGTAGCAATCAGCTGCTGACCGAGGAAGGAGGGCGGTGCAACACTAAAATCGAGGAGTCAGTCATTACAGTCATTGCAGTCAGTCACTGAAGGCAAACGAGCTGCCTCATAAACATGTCGGTTGGTTGGCTGATGCGAGATTTCGTGCTCGACGCCCACGCTCCCATTCCAGTTTTCAAGAACTAGTCAAATGCCCCTGTGTTCCACCCCTTGTCAATGTAACAAGTGTACTTCGGTTAGGTGTAGTGGTGTCAGATTTGCCAAAGGATTTCAAAAATTACGTAGAGAAAGAAGCATTTGCATTGAATCCTGTATTGGAAAGATGCAACAGGAGGATGACACACGTAATTTGCTGTCAAATTGGCACTCTTACGTGTCATCTTCCGCCCAGAACTGCAAATTTCACCACACTGCCCTTGGTGAGCACTGCTTTTTTTCACGGCTCATCAGCTCCACTTACACAGATTGCTACTACAAACGGGAGCAACAACAAGGAGATCGTTTTTCTCGTTGCAAACTTCACGGACGAGCATCATGCAAACGTGAAAGAAGTGACATCTAATGTGTAAGTCACTGACGCTCACTTGGCCTCACGACGTGCTCTAACAATCACGTTATGGACATGGAATTTAACATCCCTCCATGAATGCTGGGACAGAGCATTTTCTGCTGACAGGGCACGTAACCATGCAGCTTGGCCAGGAACCTCCATGCGGCTAACAAACAGGCCAAGCTGCCTCATTACAGCTGCCTCACTGCACCAAGCGATACGTCTTTCCTTCGCCAGTGGTGTTTTTTTCCTGAGTGTCATCGGTAGTCTCCCGATGTGCAGATTTGTCCTCCGAAGAACAAGCGCCTCATTTGCGACATCCGCAGCACAATCGTCTCCACCCATGTCCTCCTGGCCGTCCTCTTCCACCATTGGTGCGTTTATAAGGTCGTCGACTTCGTCCAGATTTTTCCCTTTGAAGACGGAGATGCCGTTTTCCATGGCCATCAAAACCTTGCCAATCTTTGCTATTTGGATTGTGGCACCTGAAAGTCGGTAGAATTCCCGATGCACGCGAATGTCGTGACCCAGGAACGACGCCAACTGATCCAACTCGTTCTTCCTTAGGTTCAGTATTTGCGACAACGTTGCGATGTGTTTTCGCAGGCTGCTCGCCTTTTCCGTGTCTTGCACAACAGCATACATGACGTGGTTTTATGCGTAGGTGCAGAGTTGGTATGGTTTTGAGGTGTTTGGGTAAGCCAGCACAGGAGTTTCGATGAGAGCCTCTCGAACACTTTCATACGCTGCTTGACATGTGTCGTTCTAAGAAAAGTAGTTGTTTTCCTTGTTAGTTACATGAATGGCTTAACAATTTTATCAAAATTTGGAATGAAACGGCGATAATACGAGCACAGACAAATGAATGAACGAGCGCCTTTCACATCGGAGGAATGATTCAAGTTTCTCATAACTTCTCCTTTACTAGGATCTGGCTTAATCCCACTCGGTGAAACTATATGACCTAAATATTTGACTTCCTGTTTCAGAAATTCGCATTTTGACATTGTGAGCTTCAAGCCTGCACTGCGATTCAAACACTTTCGATGTGACTGAGATGCTCTTAGAAGTTTTTGAGATAATTATGATATCGCCAATGTACGCAAGTACAAATGTATGCTGTGTGCCTACCAAAACCTTGTTTATAAGCTACGAAAACAGTCCGGAGGCATACGTGTCACCAAAGAAGAGCCGGGAAAGAATGGAGTCCTAGGAAGCAAGTAAAAACAGCTTTATGGGTAGAATCAGGATCCATAGCAAGCTGCCAATAACCGCGTTTTAGGCCCAAACAGGTGAAGTATTTTTGTTCTCTGCCGGAGGCGAAGACGTCATCGATGCGATGGAGTGGCTGGCAGTTCTTCACGGTTACTTGGTTCACTTTTCTGTTCTTCGATGTCCTGCCCAGGTTCCGGAGATGCTGCACTTAAAACTTGAATTACACGCAACCTTGGTATTGATATCTTTTAACCGCCGTCATGTGAGGTGACTCTTAGGCTTTTGGGTTCCTTCACGCGTTGATACGTGAAGATGGCTGTGTAAAAGAAAGGCAGTGCTCCTACCACCTCGCTGTTAAAGGCAGTTGTCCAGTCCGGCATCCGCTTGCATCCGTCGATATCTCTTTCCATTCGTGGGACGAAAACGTTTTGAGTATTTCATGAAGTGTTTTATTTATCATCTTTAACTTATTTTTGTCAGATCTCACTCGTTGTAATTAGTTATAACGACTTCCACGAAGTGCAGGAAACACAGAATCACTAGCATTATGGAAGCAAAGCTGGTTTATTTGTGGTTTGGGGAGACATGTGGGATCTCAAAAGAAAGCCTGTGCACGATAACGCTGCACCGCAAACAGCCAGGCTCGTCGCAGCGTCCAGTTCTGCCGGTTGCTGTCGCAAGAAAGACACGACGATAGGTGTGCTCGGGATTTCCTCACAAACAATAAATCGCCGATAGGCGTAAGGCGAAGCTTTGCACCCCATAGTGGTGCGGAGTCAACAAGAGCGGAGTGGTAGTGCGGTCAGATATATGAAACATGACAGGCATGGTTTATCATGGTGGCTAAAATGCAGGCTGCTACAACAATAACAAAAAAAAAACACGCTGGCGACTGTGACTGACGTGATAAATGAGTCAAGCACTTTGGCATACCAGCAATGCCTGCCGTTCAGGACTACCATAGATATATCAATAACTAAACAGATACGCGACGCATTCACAGATCGAGCGCGACACACACACACGCGCGCACGCGCACGCGCACACGCACACGCACACGCACACGCACACGCACACGCACACGCACAAACGCACCATTGCAGTAAACGGAATGAACCCTCAGATTGGCTCACCTGGTGGTTCTCATCCCTTACTTCACTGCAACGAAGGAAAGATCTGAAAAGAAAATGAACCGCACACAAGCGACCGTGCAACATTTTGCAGAGTCCGTCGTCTCCATCGCGCGCAGACCACGCGCTGTCAAACCAATCACTGCAGCTAAGAAGGCCTTTATCACTCAAGCCGCCGCCTAACAAGTGCAGCTCGCAACATTCGGAAGGGCGATCCCTCACAGTGGCGGACGCCACCAGGACAAGCTGAGAAAGCCGTGTCGGAGGTCAGACCTGGTCAGACATCAGCGCAGAACGATTCTGCCGACGTTTTCAACTGTGGTTTACTGAATACGCGAAGTCTGTCTCCAAGGCGCGAGACCGATGTTTCAGTTACTGCCCGGTGCGGCGACTGGCTCACTGGCCACAGGGCACAAGGTCTGATAACTGGCGCTGTGTCAGCGATCACTGGCAAACAGATGACAGCCAGTCGGACGGCCAGCGCGCTGACGTCCGCCCACCGCCGGCCAGGACGCCCGGGGTCGTGACCGGACCTGGTGTGGGCAGGAGGTCAGCCGGCAGCAGCCACTACACATTCGGCCGGGGTATGTGACCGGGGCCTAATATGGGCGCGTAGCCGGCCGCCGGTGGCAGAGTGGGGCGGCCGACCCGGCCCGCTGCTCGGTCGCTGGCGTTGATGCCGTGCACGCGCTCCAGGTGCGTCTGCAGACGCTGCCGGCTGCTGAGCACACGGCTGCAGTGGCGACAGCGCGTGCGGCCAGCGTGCAGGTCCATGTGCTGCGAGAAGGCGGCGGCCGAGTACAGCGGTTGCTGGCACCGCGGACACACGCGGAACACGACGCGCCCTGCAACGGAGGCAGAGCATCAGCCAGCGGGCCCCGGACGGCGCGGCAGCGATCTGAAGCGGGGCTGCCGGCGCGGAGCTGGTGCACGGCACGTCATCAGCTCTGTGCGGCATGGCCTGTGAAGCAGTTAGTGGTGTTATCACAGCTTTTCAGGGATTCTTGAGAATGACATTAGTAAGTTTAGCGTCACGCATATCAAGAGTGATTTAGTATAAATCTACGACGCCGCACTAAATTTTCATATTCAGAACTCATTAAGTTCGATTAAAAGATAAATAGAAATGTGAACAAATTTGACAACGGCAGAGGTGAAATCTTAAAAATGTAGTGCACCATAATCTTAATCGCTTATTGAGGCTCTCCATGTTGTTTAACTTACGGGAAGTCTCCTTCATGTAAACTTCGTAAATAATGGCAAATTTATACAGCATCTTCGACCATGGGTGTAGGAACAGGGTGGGGGCAAGGGGGCCAAAACTCCCATCCAATTTCGAAGGTGGGAGCCAGCAATATCAGCTGCCCCCCCACCCCACCCCTCAGACTTAAGTAACGTTTGGCTCACTTTTGTACTACCATTAACATGCATGCCGATTTGCCTAGTTTACCAGCCATCTTCCTGAAGTTTGTCGTGTTTTTTTAAGCGTCATGTTTTTCGTTTACCCACTGACCATCACTTAAGTCACAGTCGCGGGGCCGACGCCCTGCGGTCCACGGAGACTGCAACGCCGGACGTCGTGGCTGCTTTTTCCAAGATTTGCGTGCGCGCATACTCAAAACTACGTAACATAAGTTGTGTCAAATATCGATTAAAGTGCTAGAAGGTGCTTCTTTTAGAAGCGTCATCATTTTCGTCCATCCGTTGGCTCCGGCTCAGTATCGGCCGCTTGGCCGACCAGGGACGCGGCCAGAGCCCTGGCAAGGGAGGCACAGGGTTGGGGGCTACCCCCTTCCTACGTACAAAAGTAGATCAAGCCGGCTACCTTGAATGAGGGGCGAATGTCTTTTTGACTAATTCATGCCTAAGGCAGGCAGCTTACCGAAAGCTTTTCTGCGGTGGTTTAGTGCAAGGCAAGATGATTCGGAAAAGATACTGCTGCGGGCGTCCAATATATGTTTTACACACTAATCAGTAGTAATGTTTACCCCCACATATGCAGCAGAGCAGCCATACCATCAATTCGCAGTCTGAGCTGGGGGATGAGGGGGGGGGGGGGAGACGGCCGGGTCAGGGCTGTGCGGCTGCCGGCGGTGGACAGGAGCAGGGTTCAGGTAAGGAATATATGACAGAAGAACCCACATTCTGTGACTTGTTTTTTAAGGAAAACCCCTAGCTTTATATTTTTGTCACGCTGTTTTGGCAGTCCGTATATGGAGCTTTCGAATTTCTTTCCGCCTAAAATGCTACAGCAAATCTTATCCCCATCAAAGTAGCCCTGCGAAATCTAGGCGCATGAAAATCCAGACGCTCTGGGTCGTCGATTCGCATTAAAAATTCTGACCAGCCTATGTCGAGGTCGTATTTTTGGGTCTGCCCTGTGGAGAAAGATGCCTCCCCACTGACCCGAAATGCGCACCCACTCGTGGAATTTCGTGTCCCCAGGGAAAGCAGTGATGAAATGGACGAATGGTCGTGGGAAGCTGGATAGCACTCTTTACCGAATGACATAGATGAGTCGAATAGTCGAGATTGTGCACCAGTGCGAAACAGCTGTAGATGTCTATCTAGCCAGCAATGACATTATTTGCTAATTATCTCTAAAATATGCCATGCAATTTAAGAGCGGACAATGACCTCCGTCTCTATCCCTCCACCCTGGTCACCAGGCTTGCTCCCTAAACAAAGTTACTGAAGTATACCCTGGGCCTGGCCCCCCACTTTTTAAAATGTTCTTGGGTCTATGTCTTCGACCGATTTACGTTATGGAAGAGGTTGCTTCCGCTTTTACGTGCATACTATCTACTTCACAACAGAGCGGTCAAAAGCCGGGCTTCTTCTTGTTATGCACCTACCCAGCCCACCTCTGGGCCATGATCTTCGGCGCCATTCAGTAATTAACGCCATGATTTAGCCAGACATCCGATGTTGATCAAAAACAAATAAAGTGGTTGGGTGATGTTTATGTTACATATTCTGGCAGATCATTACGTATTACAAAGACACTTGTGTACTGCATGCAAGCTACACCACACAGCTTCTGGTTGCGCTATAACTGTCTCGGATTCGAAAGGCCACAAAGTATGCACCGAACTCAACACCACTAGAACGGTCATGAGCATGACATGAAGGCCTCAGTCACGGGCCAACGATAACATGGGTCGACGTCGTTTCAGTGAAGTCTGCATTAACCACTGGGAACATAAGACGTTCTTGGTGTCTCGGTCTCACCACACAACTAGTCGAGGTATAAAAGTATTTTGTGTAAAGACATCGTGCCCATTCTGCGAGAATTAGCTGCGCCACCCACAATCATGGTTCAGAGAGGCATTCAAACGCCGGCTGCATGGTAACAAGACGAGGTTCTAAAGCACATCAAACACCGCCTCCATGAGAAGCCCAGCCTGCAGGGCTGGCTGACGGTGAGCCCAGGCTGGAGCGCATCGTCGAAACACCAGCAGCCCGCGCCATTCCAGATCAGCACGCCGCGTCCGCATGCCACGGGTCAGCCCGGACCGAGCGCGGCAGCGGCCGGTCTTCGCCGGGACCGGCTCTGCACCTTCCCTCCGGCGACGCGGGGCCCCACCGGGGCGTCTGGCCCAGGCCCGGAACGCCCGGCCGCTCGGTCAGGGCGGCGGCAGCTGGTGGCTGCTGCGCATGTGCAGACGCAGGTTGTGTCGGCTGCCGTACACTTTGCCACACAGCCGACAGGTGGTGTGGCCGGTGTGGATCGGCTTGTGGTTGCCGAGCGACTTGGGGCCGGAGAATGTGCGGCCGCAGATGGGACAGGCCACGCGACGGCCGGCGGGCCCGACGACGCGGCGGCGGCTCGCCGACTGCAGCAGCGCGGCGCCTACAAGCACAGACAGCCGTCACTGTCGGCAACGACGCGCCCAGCAACCCGCACCGAGGGCGGTCAGACGCGTCATATTTCTGTAAATTTGGTCGCCGTAGCGTAGCAGCATTAGTCAGGTTGCACGAACACCGGCTCGGTGTGGGCAATTTCTTTCTGAAACCGGCGCTGGTAAGTATTAGCTCGCAACACGTTTAGGACAAGCCGACATTTTCAGTTCCAGCGACGTGCCCTGCGGCACGTCGCTGGAAACTAAAAACTGAAAACTCCCTGACACTCATCATCTAGCCCTCAACCCCCTATTTTGAGCCCCTGGCTTATCAAACATTCGGTTTCTCCACGCCAAAGTCAGCACGGAACGCGTTTGATAAGCATCAATCGCGTTATAAAGGCGTACACTCGAAGTTTTTTTTGTGCGTCAGCCTTCATGTGTTACCCACTTCAAGACATGCCTGAGCGGATCATCGTTACTTACGCAACTTTCGACCATCACATCCTTTACAAGATACCCTCCAAACAAGTTTGACCTCTTATCACCGGCGCGAGCGTCGTGTCTTAGCCTTCGCCGGACGAGAACCCTCCGAGGTACGCCGAGGTTTTGCTGGTATAACTTTACCGCCAGAAAACGCATGATGCCGAAGTATGCGGTGGCTGATTATTCAATATGTCTACTGTACCTGGCACATTTGAAGACTACCTTCGACAACATACAAATCATGGCCTCTGTCAAAATCGTACAGGCCGCATTTCACGTTCCGATGCCCGATAATGAACGTTTGACGTAGACTAAATGCATTCCAAGACTCCCCTAGATTTGTTTTTGTCTTTTACGCTGTATGATGGACGCCCAGACCATCCAAGTTTAAGGTGGCCGGATGCGCGACGATGAAGTGCTTACTGAAATCATGGATGGCCTTCCGCGACCTAGTTAACACATCTTAAAGTTACATCGGTTGGCATTTGATTCAGCTGCGTAGACGAATCAACAAATAATTATTAATAAACGCTGGCATCACATAAAACACCTATCTGCCCTTTCTCTGAAATAACGGGCGACACCAAACCCAAATGTTCACCTCAAACTGCATATTTGCTGTCAGGCAAACAGCCTAATAATGGTGCGTACGACAAACGCTAGCAATCACAAGGGAAAATCAGGTAAACGCCTAAAGCTTTCAGCCAGACGGCGTGGCATTGTTAGTTTTAGTGAGGCTGCATGATTACACCGGTATTATATGAAACACCTATTTTTTCAAATGTCGTGCCACGCCAAAAGCTTACGATACATTCATCTTAAATACCACTAACCAATCCTGAAGGAGCGAGCATGCAGAAGAGCAAACACCGTAACAGACAGATCGAGGCATGGGTGCAAGAGAATACTGGAGTTTGCCCCACAATACCTCCATGCACCCGCTGCACAGGGTAGCGGGCACGTGGAGATGTGTGCCCGCTGGTATCATGATGCTACCGTTTCCAGTATGCATCGGCGTTGTCCAGCGCGTATAGAGGCAGGTGGCTAG